ACCTGTTTTTTGTTTTGTTTTTTTGTTTTTTTGTTTTTTTTTTATTTCAGCATATTATGGGGGTACAGATGTTTAGGTTACGTATGTTGCCCTTGCCCCCATCTCCCGTCCAAGTCCGAGTTTCAAATATGTCCATCCTTCGGGTGGTGCGCATTGCACTCTGTGTATGAAAATACCCGTTGTTTTAACCCATGAGAACCAGTCATTCTCATAACCTAAGTGGAATAAATAGAATATAACTTAAATTTTAAAATTGAATTTAAACAAAGTTATCTATAATTCCTGAATGTTTTAAGCAGTGATCTCTCTAAAGTATAACTACGTTAAATTAAGAAGTATAAAAAAGAATTACTAATTTTTGTGATTAGTAATCTCACTAATTTGTGAAAAATATTATGTAAATATTAGTTGTGTAAAATTACTTGTAAAATTATACACGAGAATATTTAAGGTTTTGTTTGTTTATAAATTGTATTATAGGTTGGGCGCTCTCATTGGATACAGAGAAGTCAAAAATAAAATTGTAAAGAAAGGTCACATAGTATCTGGTACATATTATTGAAAGCCTAGTAGGCAATTAGGCTTTGCATTATTCTCAGGAGTTTGATTTGTATTTAAAAGAGGAAGGTCTCTCAATAAAGGCTGAAGATGGAAAATTACATTATCTTCTACTTACAACGACAAAAACTCATGCACATATATTCACATATTAAGTGCAGACATACATTTCAAAGTCAAATACTGATAGTTATTCTTACATTAATAGCCATTTTGTATTATCACTTCCCTTTACCCCTCCATTAATGCGTGAATATTGACAATATACGCAATCTAATTCAATGACAATCACCATTGATGGTTCTTATCTTGTGAACTTGTAAATCAGTATCTTCTTGTGAATTAGTATGTTTTAAATTTTGTAAATTCCATATTTATGTTTGTACAAAAAATATTATGCATTGTAAATTAACCTCTGTTCCTGGCACATCGTAATATAATTTTTCATGTATGGGTTCATCCTTCCCATTAGAGAGTAATGATGTATTGTCTTTGTCTATCTGCACCTAACATAGCATAGTGGCTGGCACATAACAGGTGATCAGTAAGTATTGTTGAGTTAGTTATATATTAATATATTGGAGGGAGCTATGTCTTATTCATCTTTATATGTCTAGTGCTTTACTAGTTTTCTGGCCCCTAATAATACTCAATTCACGTTTGATGAATAAGTCCGAATAAACCTATTTAATCTGTAATATAGTTAGCATATAATACTAAAATCAGACTGTAAAACCTAATCACCTATGGGTAATAAATAATGGCTGCATAACACACTTTCAGTTTGAAGTGTCAGAAGCACATCTTTTATTGGAACAGCCTCTTGCAGGGTGACTGAGAGATTCATCCGACATCAAGCCATTGTTTTTGCTCTTATAACCAGGAAGAGAGGTTTCAGCATGAGGGTGGCCCCTAGTTGCAGCTGAGTTGGTTAGGAGTGCTGACTAAATGGATGAGATCAGTACTTTGGGGAAGGTGCTCTGGTAGTTTACTAGAGTAAAGGAAATCATGAAATGTTGAGCAGGAGGCTAAGGTATTTTTTAAGTCATAGGCTCTCAAGGTTGAGCATTGATGAGCATTATTTGATATTTATATCACATGAAGGTTTTAGTAAGTCAGTCTGATATATATTTGGTGAAAAGCACACCACCTTCTTGTTCATAAATACTGAGCTATCTATAGCAGTTTTCTAAGAGTAAAGGATAATTCTGGATGGCAGAAGTCATCTACTATCTCCTTGTCTTCCATAGGTTTTCATTTTAGAGGACAATATTTTTCTGGCTTCCAGCCCTCAGTTCCTAAAGGGAGTGAATGAATTTGTTAGTAGTGGCTATTTAGAACATCTAGGCTGTGGGAGCAGCATTTGTGGTAAAGCTTGGAGCTGTTAGAGACTGAGCTACTATTAGTGATGAGGGAATGGGAACAAAGAAAAGAAAGGTGGCAAAAGACAGTGTTATGTAATTTATGCTCCATGATTGCTCATGAATACAGAGAAGGTAGTGATTTGAAGTGGTAGGCATCCTTGGCGGGTTGCCAAGGTCATTGCTAATATAGATTGAGAGGTAATTTCTTACAGGTGATATTAGAAAAAAAAGAGTTCCTAAAGAGCCTGGACAAGTGGCAAATCATATTACAGGGAAGTTGTAAGAATTTCTTTTCCATTTTAACATCTTCTTACAAAGATATTTTTTCACTTTAAAATTATAAAAATTACACTTGCCCATTTTGCAAAGTTCAAACAAAAATGTATACAATAAAAGGTGATAGCTTCCCCAGAAGTAACCATTGTTAGCAATTTGGTATATATCCTTTGAAATATTTTTCTGGTATTTACTTTACAAGTCTGGATTGTTGAATGCTGTTGAGCTGTAAGCCAGAGTCTGATTTTCAGTTTCATATTTAATGATTTTCCGTTTTCTCTTCCTTGTAGGCTTGCTATGGGTGTTCTCCAGGATCAAAGTGTGAATGCAGTGGTATAAAAGGGGAAAAGGTAAGATCTGAGATTGACTTTCGAAAATTTAGTAGAACCAGTGAAATGGTGTTTTTAGTATATATATATTTAACAAAACAAGGCTTCTATTGCAACAGTTAAGTAAATAAAGTGAATTCTACTAGACTGCTAATTTAGAGCACCTATTAGACTATATCTTAGGGATCAGCAAACATTTTCTTAAAAGGCCATATAGTAAACATTTTAGGCTTTGTGGGACACATAAGGTCTCTGCTATATATTCTTCTCTCCTCTTTTTTAACAGCCCTTTTTAAAGTGATTAGAAAATATTCTTAGCTCTTGGACCATAGAAAATAAATAAGCCTCTGACTACACATGTTCTGAGAGCCATACTCTGCCAAACTCTGATCAATGTTGTCGAAGTCACCATTTTAATAAGCAAAATGAGGGGAAAAATGCTTAGGGAGGAAGCAAAACATTTATCAGGCTACTAATCTGTGCTAGATACCAGGCTGGACAATTTTATGTATCTTTATCTAGCCTATGCAGGTTAATAATAGGTGAATGTCTACTTATCTTACTTTTCTCACAGCTCCTATTATATAGCTATTGTGATGATAAGGTAAGTATTGGTGAGGATTAAATAGCATAAACCTAACCACTATGAGTCAATGACTGACATAGAATTAGAAAATTAAAAAGGGATAGTGAATTATAGCCTAAAGAGAGTTGCACTAGGAGACAGAGGATCATATTCTAGTCTCTACTTTTTGGGGTTCAATAAATATTTTTGAATGAGTGAATGTTACTAATGATATATGAAGAAATTTGGAGCAGTTTCTCTAGGGTATATTCCACTTAGAGATATAGAAGTTGTATTAGCATATTAGAGACGCTTAAAAGTCTTGGAGCAAAGAAACCTATTTGTTTGTTTTGTAATGCTCTATTTACAAGCACCATTTGATCATGTAATCCACTTTCCCTCTAACAGAACACCTATTAATATTAATTGAATAGTGTTCTACAGAACACTTATTTGAGTTACAATAGTTTGAGGGGAGTAGTTTTGCAGTAAGGGTGCTTTCTGTAGTGGTAAAAAGACCAAGCAAGATTAATTTCAGATTAACTCTTCTTGAGATAAGAATTAAACACTTCTTAGACAAAATTTAATCGCTATTTGATAGCACAGGAAAGTTACTAAAGGAATAAAGTAGAGAGGTTTCTACCCTTGAAAAAAAGGAAGTACACTGGGTGAATTTGCATTTGTAAGGCTTTCTCTTGGGTACACCTCTCAATCTGCATGGCAGAGGATAGCTAGAACTCAGACAAAAAGCCAGTCTTGCTGGCTTGAGAAGTCACTGGACAGATTTGAGGATGCAAGAATGGCTGGAAAGTGAGGGGGGATATGCTGGAATGGAGGGAAGAGCCCAAAAATTTGCTTGACGACTACACAAATTTTTGGTTGAATTCTAACCCTTATATGTATAGAGGTGAATTCGTACAACCCAGCAAAAAGGAACATCTGGAAAGTTGCAATAACTACGCATAGATTTAACTGCTGTCCATTGAAGGAAAACAGTTTTAAGTTTGCGTTCAGCTGAGTTAACTACTGTTTTTCTCAAAACAAAAGTTCAATCAATACTCTTCAGAGGGCCAGGTGTGGTGGTTCACGCCTGTAATCCTAGCTCTCTGGGAGGCCGAGGCGGGTGGATTTTTTGAGCTCAGGAGTTCAAAACCAGCCTGAGCAAGAGCGAGACCCCGTCTCTACTAAAAATAGAAAGAAATTAATCAGACAAC